AGTGCCAGCATTTTTACTGATACTTTTTTTGGAGAGGACATTCCCAGGATTCCATGACTTGATACATATTTGCCATGCATGGACTCCAGGCCATAGGCAGGTGTAGCAATGGAAATCACCTTACAAAAGAAGGATATGTTTTGTAAAACATGCAAGGTATATTTATGAAACTTTTAGAGATGGGGTTATACGAGGATCTGAAAAGGGTGAGCAAAAGCTGCAAAATGGTGGTTCAGAACAGAACAGAAATCCCCCAGAGAATCACAGAGTCATTTAGGTTGGAAAAGACCTTCCAGATCATCAAGTCCAACCACCTACCTGACCTACAGAGTCCCATCACTAAACCATGTCCCTTAGTGCCTTGTCTATGTCCCTTAAATACCTCCAGAGTTTACAACTTGATTCATCTGGATCAGCTGGTAAAACTCCATTTGGGGCCATAATTCGATGACTAAGGACTCTTACAAGTACATTATGGATGTTCACTTGTAAAACTCAACCTGTAACATCATGTTACTTATTCCATATCTGACACAGCAATGAAACAAACTGGATAAAGCACTTAAAGCTGAATGTTTCTTTGAGCATAAGGAATCAGATTGGAATTAAAGCACAAGCACCACCTTTTGCATATACACCAATCCTAGGATTACTGATTTATTTTTTTTTGACTTTTTTTTTTTTTTTTTTTAATGCATTCCAAGCTCACAAATCCTATTTCTTGCACACAATAGGTCTATTGTCATTTTGATAGGGAAACATACAAAAGAGACATGGGAAGCCTTTTCCATCTGCTCACATTTCCCATTATTGGACTGTTCCCTTCAGCAAGTTTTGAAATAACTTTTTTTAGTTTGGTTTCATATGAATCCAGCATTTCTAGTGCATTACTGATTTTTACAAGATCATCTAAGCAGAGTTTTGAATTTCTTCCACAATACAGTGTTTTTTAAATGTTCTTCTCCACCTACGACTTGCTACTGGTCAAAAGCTGTTTCATACTGACGAGTGCCTTAATTTAAAAGCTGATAAGATCATTGCCAGCAACATCACAAGAAATTACGCTGACAACAGTAATATTAGCACAGTACCCTTGGGAATTGCTCTTCTGAACTACCCATACCCCTGAACTGCTGGCCTGGGATTCAAAACTTGCATTTCTGACAGATCTTATGAGGGATAAGAAGGCTACACATAATATAACCCAGGAAAGTAAGGCTTTTGAAAGGGTGCTGATCCACAGATGCAGTTAGCAGAATTACTGAGATATCCAACTTGTAGAGCAGACGTGGGAAGAAAAGCAAGTGATGAAAGTGACTTTTTTTTTTGCGTAAGACTGAAAAACAAAGCTCTTCTGAAATATTTACTCTGACAACAAAACTTGCATAAAAATAAATTAGGGTCACTATTGGCAGCAAAAGCATAGATCAAATACCAACACAGGAACACAGGTATACACTAAACAGCACGTTTCCATGCTCAGCTTGTTCAGGAACCAACAGCAGCATCAGTAGCAGTAGTAATCACCCCTTCTAACAGAGCACACATGCCTACACCTTAATTTCCTTTACCAGGAATGGCTATTTCAGGCTCTGTCCAAAAACAAACACTGGTGAAGGAGAGTAGGCATCTTGGCCTTGAAGTCTTCAGTCTCGGGGGAATGCCACTGTTCATATCTAATCAAACCACTCAGCCTAATCAGAGCGCTAACATTCCAGTCTCACATGGGAAAATTCCCACTCATTCACAACTACAGAATGAATTTAATGAACCTGGAAGCTACATAAGTAAATAAGCAAATAAAACAGATTTGAAACATTAGCTGGGTTCCTTCAGATGCCATAAACCTGGATGCTGAGACTTAGAAACATAGAATCATAGAATCACCAAGATTGGAAAAGACCTACAAGGTCATCCAGTCCAATTGTCCGCCCATCACCAATAGTTCTCACTAACCCATGTCCCTCAGCACAACGTCTAAACGTTCCTTGCACACCTCCAGGGTTGGTGACTCTACCACCTCCCAGGGCAGCCATTCCAGTGCCTGACCACTCTTTCAGAGAAGCAATATTTACTAACATCCAGCCTGAATTTCCCTGGCGCAGCTTGAAGCCATTCCCTCTAGTTCTATCATCAGTTACACAGTTACATCAGAGAGAAGAGGCCGACCCCCAGCTCACTACAACCTCCCTTCGGGTAGTATGGAGAGCAGTAAGGTCTCCCCTGAGCCTCCTCTTCTCCAGAATGAAAAATCCCAGCTTTCTCAGCCTCTCCTCACAAGACTTGTATTACGGACCCCTCATAGTTTCATTGCCCTCTCTGAACACACTCCACAACCTTGATGTCTTTCTTGCAGTGAATGGCCCAAAAATGAACACTGTACTCAAGGTGCAGCCTCACCAGGGCTGATATCATAAGCATTTATGGAAGCAAAAAGATAGCTTCCTTCTTACGTCCCTGCCCACATAGAAAGATGGGAACTAGACAAAAAGTTAGAAATTGCTAAAAATATATTTTGGAGGTTGTGACTAGTCCTTTGAGGTACTGCATGTACTAGCCTTTGAGCTGAAGCAGCAAGTAGCATGCTGGCTACATTTGTGCAAATCCTTATCCAGTATCCAGAAAGAAGCAAATTCAGATCCACATCAAAACACCTGTATGTGTTCCAGGTGACCAAGATACCACTATAGTCACTAGAAATTTAGAGGCTGTTTAAACTCACCTAAAACTTGATCACTGCCTTTGGTCAGCTGAATTTTGAAGTTTTATTCTGCAAGCTGAATCTACTCCTATGTCTCTCCATGACAAACAACAGAAACTGAGCAGCAATAAGTGATTCTATCAATAATCAGACTTCTTAATGATTCTACCCTGAACTCAGGGTGGAGTCATGGGAAGGCTGAACGTGTGCTCTTACGCTGCTGAAACAGGTGGACAAACTACTTTTCCTTGATTTGACAGGTCATGTTACAAATATACTTTTTGATCTGGTATATAGCATCGTAAAATGCCCAAGTATATTGTAGCAGATTCTTAGAAAGGAAAAGTAACTTTCACATGCTTTTGTGCATTGTGATTGATCATTAAAACTGTGATTTGTTTTACATGTGGGGCACTGGTCTTTTTCCACTTGTTTTGCTAATAGATTTTATTAATAACTGTTTTTTTGAGATTAATGTGTCTGACACAAAAAGCAAAGTCTTTAGGAACTGCAATAGTTAAATGAATCCAAAGCTTTTAACTCAACTTGAACACATTATGTAGAATAAATTAAGTCATACTATCTGATACTGACTTGGTGATTCAGAGTAGGTATTCAGACTAGGAAAAACTTCTTTACCAAAAAAGTGGTCAAACACTGGAAAAAGCCACCTGGAAGGGTGGTTGGTTCCCCATGCCTGTCACTGCTCAAGAGGCGTTTGGTCAATGCCCTCATTAATGTGCTTTATTCTGAAATAATATAGTCTAGTCTAGTCTTGTCTATTCTGGTCAAGCCAGGTCATTTAGGAGATAGCAACACTGGATCTGTTATATTGACTAGCAGTTATATACAACCAAAGAGAAAGCAATTTTTTCCTAAAGGTGCTATCTTTTGGAAAACTTTGCTTGTCTGATCAATAATTAAAGAGGGTGTACTCTGACTGTCAAAAAAGATTAAGAGGGCCTTGTGAATCTTGTGAAGTATTTTAAACACAAGTGCAGTCACAAGAAATTACTTGGCCTGTTCATCTCCTAAAGTCAAATGTTCATTTATTAGAGTCAATACTGAAATTTGTGCACTTCCAGGGGTTGATTCTTCTCAGTTGTTAGACTGTGCTGCAGATCAGATAAATTGTTTCTTGCTTCTCTGCATTAATTAACAGGAAGCTGAGATCACAAATACAGATTGAATTCCTGTTTGAGATGGTCACAGTTGATTGAAATTTTCTCTTCCTCTCTCCTTATTTGGAAACTAAGCGATCTTAAAAACAGAACTTCACAGTTATGTACTGGAGGTATACCACAAACATGATCCAAGGGATGGTAGACATCTCCTACAGGTCAGACTGAGAGAGTTGGGGCTGTTCAGCCTGGAGATGAGAAAGTTGCAAGGTGACTTGAGAGTGGCCTTTAAAGTATCCAAAGAGGACAGGAAAGAAGGGGACTCTTTAGCAGGGTCTTTGGTGACAGAACAAGGGGAAATGGCTTCAAGCTCAAAGATAGATTTAGGTTGGATATAAGGAAAAAATCTTCTAAGGTGAGGGTGGTGAAGCACTGGCACAGGTCGCCCAGTGATGTGGTTGATGCCTCATCCCTGGAGACTTTCAAGATGAGCCTGGATAAGGCCCTGGGCAACCTGATCTAGCTGTGGTGTCCCTGTTCATTGCAGGGCAGTTGGATTAGATGGCCATCAGAGGTATCTTCCAACTCTAAGGATTCTATGATTTTATGATTCTATGACTCTATATACACAAACATGTGAGACTATGTTGTCCTATCACTGATGCAGGGTTACAATAACATTATCACAAGGTAAGTAAAAGACTGTGCTTTCTTTTTATGCCTAAGAGATTGGTTGAGAGTGATGAAACTAGTCCCCACTAGACCCCTTGCACACAGCATCCAATTGTCACATGCCTGAGTTCCTACTATGCAATGGAGGTGTCAGTAGACTTTGAGAATGTTCAAAACAGACCTGGGCATGGGCCCTACTAATAGCACAGTAATGCATCTTTCCTTCTTCTGGCTTTTGAGCAACATAGGCTGGTTTGGAGAAATCAGCATCTGTTTTCATGCCAGATACTACCAACATTTACGTTCATATGAATATGTTCAGAATAAGCATTGTTTTGAGGCAAAGACATTCTCCTTTTGGAAACCTTTTATTGTGTAAAAATTGGAGCTGGCATTATTACCACTGCGCTCTCCGGATAAAATTGTTTTTATGAATGTAAAGACTTGCATAAATAAATAGATAAATAGATAAATAAATAAATAAATAGAAGTAAAGAAAAGCCGTGAGCCATAGCATGAGATTTTTGCTTCATTAAAATCAATGACAACAAATTTATTGGCCTCAGTGGGACTGGGATTCTACCGCAAATGAATTTGTGCATGCAGCTGATAAATCAACTGTGAGCATCTCTTGTGTGATCTCTAAACATGAGAGAGAGATGGACTTCTACAAGCTAATTGGTACATGTCTTCACTAAATTCAGTATCTTCTTCCCTTTTGTTCTCCTTTAAAAATATTTTCCTCTTGGAGAAATGTATCACAGAAGAAAATTATTCTGCTGCTCTTCTTCACAACATTACATGTACTGAGTGGATGATCCACTCTGTAGGAAGTACAAGACAACAGGGAATATTTATCTGCAATGCAAAGCAGATAAAGAATTCAAGACAAAGTTGCCAAAAAAGGGAAGTATGCACATTGACTGAATAAGCTGAGCATCATGGTTTTCAAATCTATCTGTTCTGTAGTTGTGTTTAGAAATTGTCTTTAATCCACTTTATATTTACCCATATTTCTGCATATGTGTTTGACAAAGTTTATAAACTGCCATTTTTGGATTCGTGAAATGTGAAGAAAAAAAAAGTAAGTTAAAAAAAAGCAGTATAGGTAATAACTGAACATGAAGATATACTGGGAAAACATGAAGCAAATAGTGCATATCGAAGGAGTTAAATTAACACATGGTAAATACTCATCATTACTCTGAGAAAATGAAAAGTGATTGGGACATTCACTCAATGAGAAAGGGAAAGGGAAAGGGAAAGGGAAAGGGAAAGGAAAAAAAGAAAAGACTGACCTGGTGTGTCTCTAAGAAAAACAGGTGAAAGCCCATCCTTCCATCCTTCTTCCTGGAAGGAGATGCTCTAAGCTTCCTAGAGGCAGACACTCCAGAGGTGGCTAACAACACCATCTGTTGATTTTTGTGCAGTGTTTTACAGATCAGTCCTCTCACTGAAGAGTGAGGTTAACAGATTCATCCAGGTTACTCATTCTCAACTGTTTCTAGTTTAACTAACATGCAAAATGCTATGTGTAAAAGCCATGGTTTGGAGGCATTGTTTCTACATTCCTTTTTTTTTAATTTTAGCTGCTGTATTTTTTTTCCTCTTAATCCCTATAATAATCCTGTTTTGAGGCATGCTTAATTATTTAACTTTGCCATTCTCTCAGGGAAATTACAGACTAAATTGCGTGCTTGTTATTAATACAAAGCACCATTTTGTTAGCTAATTTGGAATTTCACACCCACATCAAACAAGCAGATGTCTATAATCTATTATTTGTGATCCTGCTTAACTGCACCAAGAGGACAGAAGCCACACTTGTGCTCTTCCACCCTGCTGTGCGGGCACCATCCAGCAGTCAGGTCCCCTCAGAACCCAGCCCCGTACAGGCAGATACATCATCACAGCCTTTCTCCCTTAATGCCGCATTCAGTGGACGCAGCTGGCTCTTCTTTTCTTTTCCAAAGTTTCTTCACATTCTGTTACTACTGCATGATTGCCACTGGATACACACTGGCTCAGCATTTGCTTCTCAGCTTAACAGCCAGGTTTGGACATCATTTAAAACCAGTTCTCAGGATTTCTTCCAGAAAAGGGGAAAAGACAAATTCTCCTCTAGGTTGGTTTTGCTTTTAATGCAGAAATAAGCAGCGTATATTTATTTCAAAAGGTGAAATGTCCCTTTTCTTCATTCTTGGCTCTCACATTCATTTTGTATTGCAACTACTTCTTTTTAAGCCCTGTGCAGTACAATGTTGTTCCTACTGTAATGCTGTTTAATGTAGCAACACAAACCTGGCAAGTGACCTGAATTTCACACATCAGCAGCAACCACACAGGAGACACAGGGACCTGCAACAAGAATGTTTTGTTTCATTCTTGGTGTGCTGATTCCTGCCCATGATCCAACTGCTCCCCCATCTGACCTTTCATGCAATTTTCATTGCTTATTCTTTGGAGGTCGTCCTGATGCATGGCATGTCTGCTGTTCCTCATGGTCTAATGTATGTGCCACACTTGATCAGCTGTGTGAGAGAGTAAACTGAGTCATGTCAAATGAATGTTGTGATCTAAAGACGTATAGGGTGTCTTCAAGAGCGTCAAAAATACAGTATATAAGTGAGACTCAGGCAAAGCCTTACTCTTCGTTGGCTATTTTGCTTGGACATTATAGAACTATGATGTTTGTCTTAATAGAACTTCTTTATTGCATTTTTTCAAAGTAAACAAGACTCTCAGCACAACCAGAGTGGCTGAAATACTGGAACATATGACATGGGGCACTTAGAAGACATTTCTGGCTGGTACTTTGCTTGAAGGAATGCATATCTTGTGGCAAGGGGCTGTGAAGGGTTTACAGATTCTCCAGCCGGAGACAGCTAAATGTACTGGATGCTGAGCTACTGTTTTTCGACGTTGGGTGCTCGTATTCACTCTACCAACTGAATATTTGTTGCAATTAGTTCCTAAAATGTGTTTGCTGTTCCTCTCCTGTATTATGGACTCGGCTTTAGATGTGCCTCATCTCATTCAAACATGAGAAGAGAGGTTGAGATGAACTCAACAGAGATGACACAGATCCAAATGAGATTTCTGTCAGTTCTGCTGCCGGTCACATCTTAACCTTACATGAGAAAGAGGACTAACTGCCCATAGACAGAGATAGCATAACCCTAAAATGGTACCTCTAGATGTGGGACATGCTTTCACAATGCATAAATGTCTCTACTGATAGACTCCTGAGTTAAAATCTGTAAACATACCTGCCATAGTAGCAAAGCCTACCATTATTAATGCTAGCATTAGCAGTCATCAACACTAAAGTTAGAAGCTAGCAATGGACCATCACATCTGGATTTGTAACAGAAAAACATCAGGACTAAGGAAGTGAAATTACATTCTCAGGAGTGAATTACTCACTACGTGTATACAACCAACAGGAACAGAATTGTAGGCTGAGGAAAATGTGTTCAAACTTACCAACAAAAATAAATACATGAAAGTAAGATGTGAACATTAGCTACATTTCCTTGACAAAATCTCCACATGGGGGCCTGAAATCCAACTATATTTGCGTTTTGACATATTATCACCAGCAAAGACATAGAAATGGAGCCCCTGAGGCAAGAGAGTTCAACACTGCTGAGCCATTTGGGCATTCTTCATAGGGTTGGAAAATTCCTCCCCTTCCCAGACATCCTATAAGGTTATATAGAGGGAAGAAAAGAGGATGGAAGATGAGGGAAGAAAGAGAGGAAATGGAGGATGTTCTGCCTTGAAATCAGTGAAGCTACTGCATGGAATCATGCACACAAAAAGTTTGTGCTCATGATGAAAGCAAAGAAACTCATCTTGATTAGCTTATTGATATATGCTCTTGACAGAACTGTTCCCATTCCTTTCTTTCCTATTTTCCCCTTGAGCAGCCTCCTCACTCTTAGATTTGCGATTATCCCTTGCGCCAGACCCAATGTTCCCCCTCATACTCAGTCAATCTTTACAAGCCTGTTTCCTATTCTTGGGACCCCCTGACAAATCCTGACAAAACTACAATTCCCCTACAACCCCCTGTCCTCTGCCTAATCCATTTTTCCCTTTCCTCCAACAGTAGTGACAGCCTTTGCTGCCATGTCTCCCAAACTGTTCCAAACTCATTTTGAGTTCTGCATACTGCACAGGGACTCTGGAGCTCCACTCCAGAAAGGCTTTTCCTACTCTGCAGTGGGGCAGCATCTGCAAGGGGGCAGTGTCCTACGCAGGCAGGATGGCAACGGGGCCACACTCTGCTCACAGGAGATACTATTGCAATTGGGAGGTCCAAGCATGATTCATGGCTTCCCTATCAAGCTTCCTAAGTATGAGCAAGGAACAGCACTTCTCTTTCATGCATGTGGACATGTCACTATGCACGCATACAATCACACAAGAGTACTTGAGAGAGACTGTAGTGATGAATGTGAACTAGTCTTGAAGGCTGCAAAGAGTGGAGTAAAAGGGAAGAATGTTGGAATTTTGAGTCTATTTTAATAAAGATAGAGGACTGCAAAGGAGATAAAGAGTTACTGTGCTGCTTACAGAAGATTCAGAATTTGGAAGGAAAAAAAAAAAAAAAAGGAAATAGCTTTGAAATGCTGTCACAGGAGTGTCTACTTTGAAGTTGTACTGAGAAACCCATTCTGGAGTGCTTATTCTCCTGGGACAATTCCACCCAGATGTGATAGCAAACACTGTGACGCTCAAGACCCAGTTACAAGACCTTGCCATGAGGGAGCACTACATGAGTGGGAATGAATGGAACCAAAGTACATTTCAATCAATGAAACTATGCTGATGTGCTTTGATTCAAACAAAGAAACTTGGGTCTCTACTGATGCCTCCAAGGATGGCCTTGGGGCAATGCTGTTCCAGGAGAACAGATGAGATGCACTTGACTTTCTATGGCATCTGTTACAAGAATGATGACTGAGGCTGAATGAAAACATGCCAGACTCTAAAGAAAGTTTAGGCATGGTCCATGTATATATGAAAATTTCTAGGCATATGTAAACTTTGTAGCTGAACAGAAACTGGACTTCATACATATATAGATGCACATATTTAAATACACATATATTATGGATTCTGAAACTTCTCTTTGTATAGTTAAGCTTAATGATGTCCAGAGGGAGCAGATTTCTGCAAACTGGATTTCCTGAATGAAGAAAATGATTAGTTCCCTTTTACACTGTAAGCCCGCAGTTTAAATGCAGATTTTTGTCAAGGGAATTCTGCCAGTCATGAAGCGTGGTGGCCTACAGACAACCTCTGAAGTCTCATGCCACCAGGCTACTTCAATTTTAATGCTTCATGAGAAAATGTTTCTATTTCATCTTACTTATGCAGCCATTCCTATCCTTGCCTTGTTTTATTGACAAGAGTCCACCATGAGACCAATTGGCTAAAGAAACTATTTCAGATGCTAACCACCAGGACTATCTTAGTTTTACACATCTAGTGGACATAAATGCTTGTCATCTTGTTTTATGAGAACTACAAAATTTATTAGATCAGACAGGTCATTAAGTAATTTTTTTCTTTAAAAATGTCTTTGATTCAGTGAAGTCAAATTTATGCTCTGTTATAGCGTGCTAACAGCTATTTTTTTGGCTAGGAAAGTCAGCAATAAATCTGCATTTAATAAACTGACAATAGATCTCAATGTGAAAGAGATTCAATGCACTCATTTTTCCAGTTACTTAAAAGCAGTGAATCCTTGCAGAATTGCAAAACTATTTCAAAACTAAAAACATATTATTTCTAGAAACATCTCATTTATTACAGCATATAATTTTGCTTAGTGTGGGGGTTATTTTAAAAGCTGCCTAGTAACTGCCTGGCTCACCAGTGGCAGCATGCTTTCTTCACCTGCCAAAGAGGAAACAGAATTTGGGACTGCTCTTCTGTGAACACTGTTCATGAATAAGTACACGAATGCGTGCACTCCCTTCTCCTCCTGCAACCCCCATTCTCTGCTGATGTGCACACATGCACAGAAGAAAGCCTTGGAGTATGGTAGAACAGGTTGTCTAGAGAAGCTGTAGAATCCCCATCCTTCAAGACTGTCAAAACTCAGCTGGAAAAGGCCCTGAGCTATCTCATCTTTCTCTGAGGCCTGCCTTGTTTCGCGCAAGTACTTAGAGTTGGTTCCAGTGATGTACTTCTTAATTGTAATTCCAAGGACACAAAGAGGACAAACAAGTTCTGCATGTTACAAGGCTGGGTGCTAAAACACAGTGACTGTCCATAAAAGCTGACTGGGCAGGTCTCTCTCCACATGCTCAAGCAAAATGCAGAAGCAGCAAAGACACCAAGCGCAACTTCACAAGGGGAATGTTCACACACAGGTTCCAGGTTCCCAACCCACTGGGAAGTTCTTAAAAGACTTGAATGAAGTATCAGGTGATGGATAGGCATTCTTACTATGGCAACCATTCCCTGATGAGGTGTTGTAATAGCCTTGTTCTAATTTCTGAAATTCCCTCTAACCATATGCTTATTGATAGCATTTGGACTCCGTGTCTCACAGCTTATTCTTAAGATCTTTTGGCCATAGATAGATTAAATAACTCAGGTGCATCAAAGGACTGTATGTAGCACCAAAAAGTACTGGTTGGTAAAATGACTTTGTAAGCTTCTTTATAACTCAAATAAATTTATATTAACATATTTCACTTTCAATGACCTTTGATACTCTAGTAGGATCCTGGAAGACAGATTCAGAACAAGATGAAGATCAGATTCAACAAGATTACCATGCTGG